ATCCCACCCCAACCGCCACGTCTCCAACGCTCGCAGGACCCCTGATGTCCCCCCATCCCTTTCCTGATCTCCCGCCATCCCTTTCCTGGTGTCCCCCCCATCCTGGCTGCTTCTGATCCGGGATGGCAGTGGCGTCACCAAACAGATCTGCTCCCCCTCCCCACACCAGCTGGGGAACATCTATCCAAAGCCCTCGGTTCCCAGGGAGCAGCCCCCAGCCCAGGACCCTGCTCAGCCCTGCAGAGCTGAGACCTTGCAGACTCGCTGCACTCTGGGCTGGGGAAGAGGAGAGGGTCCCCTTCTGATGCATCCCAGGTGTCACCTCCCCAGGACACCCCTCCACTTCTGACCCCTTCTCCTGATGCATCCCGGGTGTTACCTCCCCAGGACACCCCTCCACTTCTGACCCCTTCTCGGCTCCTCTCCCTGCAGCTCTGGGCCACCACCGTGCCCTGGCACCATGGCCACGGGCGAGCTGACTGAGCTGGAGATGGCCATCGAGAAGATCGTCACCGTCTTCTTCACCTACGCGGGGAAGGAGGGCAAGAAGGGCACCCTGACAGCCGGCGAGTTCAAGGAGCTGGTCCAGCTCCAGCTGCCCAACCTGATGAAGGTGAGGTGAGGGGCAGAATGTGTGGGGTGCTTGGGGGGCAGTTGGATCCCCGTGGGTCCCCCCGAGCTGTGGGGCTGCTCCCGGTACGCTGGGATTTGCAATCAAGAGTGAGCAGCAGCCCCTACTCCCCTCCATCCCGCATCCCCTCGCTTGGGACCGGGATGTGGCCGAGCCTCCTCTGTCCTCCTCACAGGATGTCCCCTCCCTGGATGAGAAGATGAGGGAGCTGGATGTGAACAACGACGAGGAGCTGAAATTTGGCGAGTACTGGCGGCTGATCGGGGAGCTGGCGAAGGCCATGAGGAGGGAGAAAGCCGGGAAGAAGTGACGGGGCTGGTGGGGACGCAGCCAACGTGGACCTAATAAAAGAGGTTTCCATGAGCCTGAGCATCGCTGTGGTTCTTCACAGCGGGGTGGGGGGGGTCCCCGATTTGAGTAGCCCATCTCCTCCCCTGCCTCCCTCTACCCATGGCCATGCTGTGCCCAGGGACCAGCTCAGCACCATGAGTGGTGGGTTGGAGCTCATTCTGCCTTGGGTTGGCTGCTGTGGGGAACCTGTGATGGATAAGGTTGTTCCCAAATGGTCCTTGTGTTGGTTTGGATGATGAGGTGCCACCCTGTGCCCCACAAACACCTTCCTGTCGGGCTGTGGGGGTTGCTTAGTGCATCTGCGATGGGTGGCAGAGATGTGGCTGGGACCCAGGGTGGGGCTTGGGAGCGATACCACCTTGGCCAACGGTAGCCACCACCTCCAAGACATCAATATCCATCCTTTCTGGGGTCTTGGGCGGGACTGGGGGGACACGTGGGATGGGGGGGACACATCAGCACTCCTAACTGAGCTCCTATTCCCAGTGTTCATCTCCCAAATCCCAGCTCTGTTGGGAATTTCCCAAATCTTTGCCACGGGGTTATCCTGTCCCCTGTTATCCAGGGCCCGGTGCCCGCGTGGCTATTCCCACGCGGTACTGGGTGGTTGTGCCG